CCTCTTAACAACCCCCCGAAGTTGTACACCTTCTTCTGTAAAGGAACAAAATTCGCTTTATTTTTTTAATTTTTATCCAGAAAACTTTGACATTTTCTTCTTTAGGCGTATAAATTTAAATAAAAATATGTTTGAAGAATATTTAAATATTTAAAAGACAAAAACCGATGCCATCTTCCTGTAAACGTTTTGCCGTGGCGAAAATCGTTATCGGATTGAGACGTGCGGACGTAATCGCGTCGCAATCGATTGACGAACATTTATTAGTTTGCGTCAACAAAGAACGTAAAAATTGTATTTCAAATTGCCACCCAACTAATAAACTTATCCCAAGGAATTTTTTGCCTGTGTTTTACTGATAAAAACTTCTACGTTTCCGTCGAAATTGGCCAGGAATATATTAATTTTTTACCGAATTAAATAGAAATTTCTACCGACGACGTTACAGTATGGTAAATGAGGCTAAACTACTTCAATAATGGCCGAATTAGCCGCATAAATTTGTACTAATGTGGAGATCGATAAAAATTTGAAACCTCCTTCTTCTAAAGGGCCGCATTATTATTACTATTTTCTTCTAATTCGAGATTTTGAACATTTTTACGAGCCGACTTGTTCGGTAAATGAGAAAAACGATAAGTCTAGGTCTTTTACTTTTTTAATATTTTATTCTAACGATGAGTCACGGTTATCATTGTGATAAGCGAAGTGCGTGTACTTAAAAGTACTATTTTATATTTGCTCTATTTGGAATTGCGTGTTAGTGAACATTCATAGTCCATTGATGCCATTTTTACTAGGAAATAAACCATTCCTATGGGTAATAAAGCAGAACGCGGAAAGATTTTTCTACTAGCACATATTTTTAGCCGCAGAAATTATATTTTATATGTTAAATGCTGATTTATAATAGAAAACGTCCGAAACACGCTGCTACCACAGCAACAAATCATCGAATTACATTCCGTCTTTTCTATTTTTAAAATTATACGCCTATGTATATTTAAATCTAGTATTTTTGCTGGTAAATACCCCTATGCTACTACAGTAATAAAATTTAATACGTATTTTGTTTTCTGTATTTTGTCTTCGTTCTTCTACTTTATTTTATATAAAGATAAAAGTAAAAAAGTATGTTATTAATAAAACGTACATATGGCAACGTAGTGTAAGTGGTATTACACTAGCAAAAAATTATAATATTAAATATTTTATTACGTCATGTTTATTGCAGATATTAATGAAGTGATACTCGGTTTTAATAGAGCGACTGGCTATTAAATAACAATCTGTTGTTTCTGTAGTAGTTTATTAATGAAAACTGCGCTAATTGTTCGCCTTTTATAGCTAAAAACATGCATAGAATTAGCAGATTTACATTATTTAAATAATACAAAGTAAATTTAATATTACCATTTTATATTAGCTTATTTATAATAAGCTAACGGAAGAAAATGTTTTAGTTGAAAAATGAGTACTGTTTTATCAAAAAATAGACTCTATTTGTGTATAATCATTGAGAACGAAACGAGGTTTACTTAAGCAACCGATGATCGCGCTTATTTGAATACAGGCGAGATTTTACTAGGCGAATAACAAAGCTGCAGCGAGGAGATAGCATTAATTTATCGCCTGTGCATTAGCAACAGAAGGAAAAATCTTCAGCAATCCATCAGAGGGTTGTTAGGATTCTCTCTTCCAGGTTATTGTATAAACGATAATTCCGACGCTACTCGAAGTAAGTAAGACAAGAGATGACTCCGACCCAAGCGCTTTGTTCGTAATGACATTTAGGTCGAGAAGAGAAGGCTTTAGAGTAACAAAACTGCGAAACGAAAGGCAGTTTTAAGAGTGAACGTTGGTCTTGTTTGCATCGCGTGATGATACAGCAGACGTCGATCCTCTCTCGACCAAATGAGTCACCAGATCGATGTAAAACTAGCAGTTTTATCACGACTCACTACAAGCACGCCAGGATCCATTACTACTTGGGCGTGACCGCATATTGCATAAACATGCGAACTTTCCCTATGGCGAGCAGCGAGGAAACTTATACAAGAAGGCACGCGCCTATGCTTTTCTTTCACAGCGTAGTGAGAAAATGAAGGATATCTGTACGCGTGTAACGCGCTACAATGGTTTAAGGCCATTTTTAAACTGACTCTACACGATAGCGTATTATCTTCTTATTAAAAGAATACGTATAAAGTAGATTAGGCGTGTTGAAGAAATCTCATTCGTCTTTTCCTTTAATAAAAGGCAAATTTCGCCCGCGATTCAACCTTTTCCCATTCTATTAACAATGTGTTAAAAAATACTTAAGCTTTAATGAGATTACTTTAAAAGTAATGGTGCCAATTAGTTTCGTCTTTCGTCAGAAAACGGATATTTAATGGTAATTTGAATGCTTTTCTTGCCTCTTCCTATTATTACTCGTGATAAATTCGGATTTTTCAATGGCTAATGCATTATCAACTTCGCCTCTTCTCATTCATTTAAGCATCTTCTCCTCGTCCTCCTTTTTTTTCTTATTCCCTCTCCAGATCCGGAAAAAAATCTTGCGGTACGTAATATACAAAAATTCGCATTTATACGAGCCGGGCCACCGTTTTAAAAGTACTTTTTGAGGCCGTAGTAGAGTAAAAATTAATAAAGACGATCACACGCGATAACACCATCATCCGGATCTATAAATTTCTCTTTAATATTTAAGAAACGTCAGAGGAAATAAGTAGAAAAACGTTTAAAAATTTTGGCAACCGAAATAGTTTCAAGAAAAACAAACAAAACGGAAGAAATTTTGGCAGAAGTAGCGGTGTTAACGGTTAAAATTATGTGGTAATACTTATTTTAACTGACGGAAAATAAACAGATGCCGAGTTATTCGTGGAAGTAACTCTGTTTAATCCTTTGTTCAAATCGTCAGCTTCTAACGAAATCGTACCTTTCATCGAACAGAAAAAAAATTTGCAGTTTTAAATAAGTTAGAGTCATTTACCTATATCAATGATACGTTTATAAGTCTTCAGCGGGCATACCTGAAGGGAAAACTACGAATTAGAGAGGCACACTTAAAGGTGATGCATTGTGATACATTCCTGTCCTTCTCCGCATTAGAATCTATGCATTATGTATTAAACTCGCTATCCTTTTTAAAGAGCGCGGAAATTCTTTCTTATACTTTTACTTTGGGTTAAAAGTATTTAATTCTTCTTACATGGCGACACGTCTTTTGCCGTTTGCACCGCCATATTTCTCCTTTTCTAACATCGGAAACGATAGTTACTCGTCCCTTTCAATTTCCGTTTGCACAATAGTCGAGGCACTACTGTTTGTTTCGTGCTCTCGAATTTATTTACTCGTATTCGTAACATCCGAAACTATTGATTTCGTGCCCTCAATTTCAATTTCTTGTACTATAGCAACAAATATTGATTTCGTGCTATCATTTTCAATTTCTTCTTCATATAACACTAGCAAACGTTTCTGTTATGTTGCATTCTAACTCTATTTTCTTCTTCCCAATCGTTCATTACACGTATCCGATTTTATTTTTTTCTTCTATAATAACTGTATACTCCATTTTTCTTCTTCTATAATAACTAGTCTGACCATTTTTCATTTTATTTTCCATTTTTTCGTGCGATGCAACTGTTGATTTTCTGCCTCCATTTTCTCTTCTATATTATTAAAGCGGATCAATTTCTCGGTGGTAACGGCATTTTTAAATGTCGAACGTGTAAAATATGGCAAAATCGCGTAACGTAAATATATTTATATACAGGCCTTATTTATTATTATCTAGGGCTACTACGCGGGTTGGATTTTGACTTTTGTGGCCCCGAGCTATAACGAGTAAAAGGCTCTCACCCTTAATAATTTGTTAGAGCCTTAAATTTTTAACATTGTAAATTTAAAACGACGAATCGGATTCTACATCTTTATTTAAATTGTAATTATCTACTTTATATTCTCAGGTATGTTCGGAAGACTCGGAAATAAAATTGGAAAAAATGTAATAAAATATAACGGAATTCGAAGAAGGTTTATTAATGACGTTTTTTGAATTTAAAAACGATTGACCAATCCTAAAGCAAAAGTGTAAATTTTTTTCAAATTTGAAATGATAGAAACAATTTTAAAAATAATTAAGAGTACGAGAGAAATATCGAATTTGATAGAGAAAAGTATTTAAATCAGATTAACTCTGGACTTTGCAAAAGTAACTTTTGCAACGGCGATAATTAAAAATCTAATGGAAAAAATGGGGCCGTCGAGGTGTGTCCAATCTCAAAATTTTAGAATTAACGTCAATAATAACCATCGAATGCCATTCGTAACCGAAAACTAACGCAGTAAATCAACGTCACCATTAATAACCAATCAGAAATGTCATAAGAGAAATAAGTAATTATCATATTTTTGATTAATAAATTGCTTAATTTCTCTTCCTGCCGCTAAATAGACCAAAGTCAGTAATATACAGGAAAGGGTAATTATGAGTAATTGTTAGATATAATTACCTGGTCTTCGGTTTGCAAAATGAAATAAGAGTGCGGCAAAGAGTTGTCAGATCATATATCTAATTTTCAATAGGCGCTTCTCTTTTCTCCGCTTATGCAAAAGAATAGCCGTTCTTTTCTTCTCCTAAAGATCAATGCACTTTCTCTCCACTTTTTCACAACTCCTCGGCAATAGGTGCGAATCCTGTTCCGCTTTATGAACGCGTAACTCGTGCCACCGACGCAAATTTATGTTCCAGTCTACCAAGTGCCTTTACGTATTTATAACTCGCAAGATTACAAAGATGCCTCTTCAATTATTTCGATTAAAAATCTAGTAAACCACGAAATTTTAATACATTTTCAAAGATTAAACAATGTATTTATTCGTATTATCATTTTAAGAAGTACATTTTAAAAAGTTTTAAGTAAATTCTTTAAAAACTTAAATTTATTTTTAAATTCATAAAACTTTCGACATTTACTAGATTTAACAGAAATTACGTAAATTAGAAAACCGAAGCATTGGACGGAGAAAAATGGAAAAGATTAGAGGCGATCTTCGTCCAGCGGTGGATTGACAATGGTCGACGACGACGATAATATAATGCAAATTAAAAAACTCATCGACGGCATTTAACTTCCGATAGATGCTACGTCGTCAATGGCTTTTACATTTTATTTATTGTCCTTTCGAAAAATAAAATTAAACTTTTAAAAAGTTTTATCACTAAGATTTTTATAAAAGTATTTAAAATTATTACGTATAATTTTCTGCAGTAAATTACCTGGTAGAATTGGTTAAAGAACCGCGTGTCGAAAGTAGTAAATGATAAAATTTTGTCGAATTTTCTAAAATAATATAAATATTTTGTTATAATTTGAAAATACGACACCCCGATCTTACGACCGCCGAGATTTCTATATTACCAATACATTTAAGTGGCATATTTGTCCGTTATTTGCGCGACACTATATTGGAGAACGAAAGCTTAAAGCTATAACGGAATGGCTCGTCTTACGACGGTTTTCCAAAAATCCGAAATTAGACGTAAAAGCGGTTATCTATTGCGGAAAAAATATTTAAAAAAATACCAAAATTTATCCGTTATCTATAATTTTACGGTGTTATATAATTACAATATTTCCAGAAATGTAAACTCGACGTAAAATACTAATCCGGTACGAAATCGGATGGTTGGCTTAACGACGGTTTCCGACAACGGATTGGGATCTAACGAGTAAATACTATAACGAAACACAACGAAATATAATTTGAACCAGTTAAAAGTTTTGAAAAATATAAAATAGAAAAAAGTTCAAAACATTTTGTAAATTTTTAAACCGCATTTTGTATTATACCAAAGCATTATTTAAAATAATATGATTTTACATGCAGAATTGGAACAGATATTTACCAAATGAAATTCTACAACAATTCGAATTTTCTGTTTTTAAAAGTAACAAAATTTTACCAGACAGCGGGATTATATCGATAAATAAAACTAACGGTCGAATTATATTAAAGAAAATTAAAAAATATTAATTAATAATAAAAATTCAATTCAATTTTCAAAATGGCGTCTCGGACCGAAGGCCGACGGTTTTAAATGTATCGACAATCAAATTGATAAATTATCATTTTAATATTAATGCTGTAATAAAAATTATTAAACCTTCTATAGATGCAGCTCTTTTATTAAATTTAATGCCATTGTATAGACTACTATAAAGAAGCCGGAGGAGAAATAAATAAGGCATATTCGAACTGATAAATAATATTCAATAAATATTTATGGAATAGGCTGGTTTGGCCACCGCCGGTTTCAAAATTCTCTATCTCACGACCCGTAAAATTTCGCCATTACCCACGTAAAATTTCTTATTTCCGCGTATTATCGTATCGTTACAACTACTTCCGGGAACCGTCTCGATATAATTACTCGAAATATAACGACTCGTTTTACGACCAATCCACGAAAAAACAATTAATTCGTAAAAACCAGCCAAAATATATTCCGAGACCTTTTAAATCAAAGATATAAAAAGTAAAGAAATAATTTTTACACGAAAGAAGCAAAATAGGATACTTACAGAGAAGACGACGGCTGGCTTTGCCACGGGCGCCTACCACCGTATCGAAAAAAACACATACCGGAATTATATTTCGAGAGCTTCCGAATTTAAAAATGTATTAAAAGAAATAAAATAATCTTGTACCAACGATAAAGATTTATTTCGAACTAACAATAATATAATTAACACGGTGACAATACCGATTGAAAAATTCGTCACAATATAAATATATTTTTGTTTTTCCCAGCCAAGTTGGCGTATAATAACTGCAGGCGTTAACAACTCATAAAACATTAGATAACGCGTTATTAATGTATCCTTAGATATGTATGTGACAGCGTAAGGAAGGATAAGGTCATTTGTATGCGGAGAACGTCTGCACAATTATATTGGAAAGAATTAATAGAACCTAATGAACACTAAGCAGAATACATGACAGACTTTATCGTGAAAAAAAGAAAAAAAAAGACGGTTTGATAACATTGAAGCGGACAGCTAACATCTAGAGATGATGAATCTACGAGAAACAGCGATTTATCTTCCAAATTTCCAGAAATAATCCAAGAAAAAAGAGAAAAAATTTATATTTTGAAAAATTCAAATTGACAATGTTTCTCGTAAATTATACATTGTTACGTATACTACCAGTTATATTATTTATATACGTATATTTAAATTATTAATCGCGGATAAAACTTTTAATAGTTCGAATTTAAGCGCGTTTGGGAAGGAAAAAACAACGACCAAGTAATTACGTTTTCTGGCGACAGATGACAGCACTAGTAAACGGCAGTTATATTTGTCCGTTTTTTTCTTTTTAAATTTAAATCTTAATTTTGCCAAACGATTAAATAATAAGATAATTTTAAATACTCTTAAAATGATGAATAGTTATTTTATTAAAATATTATACGTATTAAAACTGCTTTCGTCGGATAATCGACATTATAAAAATTCTTATATTTTATAATTAATTAAAAATGTTATATAAAAATATAAAATAATTGTATTATAAAAATAAAATTTGTAAAAAATTGTTTAAATATATTTTTGCTAATTTACTCAACAGATAGCGCTCGATGATACTTTCCATATAGGCTATAATACTTTTAAACTATAATCGAGACAAAGATTTGTCCCTCTTTATTACGATTGCATTTATATTTATAGAACTAATTTGAAAACAACGTTTCAAAATTATCGTTTAAAAAAACCATTGTCAATTTTTTGTCGCCATCTGTTATTCGCCACAAAAACTATCTAACGATAGCTGGTGAATTATATTAAATATCAAAGAATACTTTACGCTAAAGGTTGATCGAATTTACCTTAATAAAAATTATATTTTTCTCGAAATAAAATTCACCGTTTGAAAATCTCCCTTTAAAAAATTAACGGAAAATCGACTCTTTTTTCCATGGAANGGCGAGACAAAGAAAAATAAAATTTGAAGCTTTTTCTTCAAAATTAACGCATTTCTTTCGTTTTTTTTCAGTTTTAAGTATTTTTTATATATTTTTTATGCTTAATTACATCATAATTAATTACAGGTGGGCGTTAAGGGGTTAAGTAGCCAAGACGTAGCCAAATATTGTAGCGCCACATCACTAGCGGACATTTGAAATTTGCCGACTAGAACGGTCGGTTAACCGATGTGACGGTTAATCGGGGATCGGATAATCGATGCTCTACTGTAGTATATTTATATACTTTTGTATGTACACGTGTTTTCATTTGTATATAAGTATTTGTCAAAATTTGAATCACTACCGTACGTTCTAACACTTTAAATTCGAAATTCGTAGAGACAATCAGACCCAAAGTTCGACTACTATAAAATATTCTTATAAGATTTTTTCGTTTTTTAGCTTTTTTCGCCGCGCGATCACAATCGTTCCCTTTTGTCCCGAAACCATCGTGGATTCATCAATGGCGCGTTACCCTAGGGGCAAAAGAGCCCCGGACCCTTACCAACGGAGCCTCTAAACTAACCTTATTTAAGAAAATATTTTCCCACAAAAAGTTCCCCGAAGAAATAGTCCGAAGTCGATGTTATACGGAAGACCCTACAATTCAAATTCGTCCTACGAAATGGGTCCCACCGAGTTATAACCAGCCACCGGGTTCTATCGGGCCAGCAACGGAAGTGGCCGAATGGAACGGGAAAGAGCCAGACATATCTGGAACCGAGTGCCGACGAAAAATCTCCGAAAGTGGTTGGAGCGGATTAGATTTCGAGCCCACCCCGGGCGTTAAGCCGATCTTTAACTCCTCGACCGTTCTGCCAGATTCTTAAATTACAGAATAATTTACTGTATTATATACGTTTTCCAAAAAAGTATTTGAAATACTAAACAGCTACGTTAAAATTATTTTTTAAAAGGGTAAACAACAAAAAAACATTTTTACGCGTAATTTTCAATTACATACACTTTCAAAGTACAATTTAATCATCGACGATTACTTTACTATACAATACGCCAATATCTCCCATAGATTACGCCGTTAATCGCACCAGTAACGTTTAAGAGAGGGGGCCGGCCCAAAACGACTAGTTTCAACGAGAGACGGCGAACGACAATCCGATCCTTACTGCCCATAATTCTGTAAAAATTATATTAATATAAAATGAAGATATTTTTATAATTTAATTATATTAAATGACATGGAGCAATGCGGAGTTCGATATCGACCGACTCGATGTATCGCGCGGCACATAGCTTTTTCCCGGTAGGCACCAACGCGGTCACGCCTACGGGGAATTCGGCCAGGCCCCCGATGGCTGCGGCCCAACGAGCAGAAACCGCCCGCGTCCCGGCGCTTGACGAGGAACGCCCGGGCCAATTCCAACCCGGATTCTTCGGGGCTTTTAAATATATCGGGCGCATTAATGGCGATAAATTTGGAAAAATTGGGTGTCGGAAAGCGCGGCACAGATGGGGTGACAGGTAGAAGTCGAACCGGACGTTTCGGTGGCGGCCAATTTATCGTAGGTCGAGTGGTCGAAAGAACCGATTAGTCGCGGTCGACTCGTAATCGTTAGTTTGCCACACGTCGACTTATCGGAACAAAGTAATCGCAATTTCCAAATCAGATTAATAACCTTCATTAACCTCGGCAAGATAATTGAAAATAAATCAACGAACACCTTTTAGGATGCTGGGATTGGCTTTTATTTAGCGGATTAACAAGCGAAACGCCACGTTACCATCTAAACCGGTCTGGGAAATATTAATGGCAAAATTTGCCGCGCCCTATAATCGAACAAAACCTTGTTATCGAATAGGTAAAACCTGCTGGGGTTTTTCGAATTAAATTGAAAAGTTTGGACGAACGGTCGAGTCGTTTCTCCGTAAATATATTACAAATTTTGCAGCCGACAGATTACATTAATTTCTCGCAGACAACGCGATTTAATGTAACCCACCGGAATACGAAGTGTAGCGAATTGACGACGACGAATTGTCCGGGACTAATCGATCCTTTAATCAATCGACGCCCGACGTATGGACGACGGACAAAAACCGGTCCGTGCCAATTTATCGCGGTTTGCCTTTCTCGGATAAGAAGTGGCCCGTCTATTCGTCGTTGGAAAGCGTATAATTGGACAGACAGGCCGAATACACCTACTCCGTCGTTATAAAGTGACGTGGCAAAAATCTCACAAATAAATCTTTGATTCGAAACGACGGAATTCCCATAAATGCCAATTGTGGTAACGCCATTAGAGTCTTTGGTAAAGTTCACCCGGCGACAATCTGGAATGGAAGGCGGCC